AACACAAAGGGATAGCACAACACAAAGGCTGCTGTAGTGCAGGCAAAATATGAGCTCAAACCTGAGACACTTACATGCTCCATAGCAAAGAGAAAGAAGCATTGCAAAACGTCAAATTCACAAACTTGTGTTGCATCCAACCGAGCGCGACTGCAACCACTTGCAATGCTTAAAACAAGATGGCGGCGTCTGTGAGATGGCACCAACGGCATTGTTGGGAACGCATTTACTGTATCAAAATGCATTCAGACATAACCGCAGATGCCATTCACTGCATTAAACAGTAAATGTGTTGGTAACACTACAGTGCTTGGAACGCGTCTTCGACAGGTGTGTTAAGGCGTCCTCATTTTGGTCCCTCGATTTACACCTTGTGATGTCACAAAAATGTCATGCTGTTGCTGGTCGTGATCTTGGCGGCGGTCCAACAGCAAAGGTACAGTTGGCAGACGACTGTTCTACCTTGTCTGACTCTGCTGCTCAACAGTTGATGGAAACTCAAGTGAACATGAGACGGGACATTCCGATAACAGCAACTATTTATGTCCGCTCATCTTGTTAGCCGGCGCCCCTAATGAGTCGACAACCAACCGCAAGGATTGCGACACCCGATAGCATGACACTTTTAGCTTTTGTGGCAAATTTTATTGCCACTTCCGGACCATTTTGAACGCAATATGGGGGTGGGGATATAGGACAGTAAACACACCAATCGAAAACGCGTTCCAGGCACCATAGTAACACTGCCATTGGCTGAACTGCGCAGACGCCGCCATCTTGTCTTAAGTGCCGCAAGCGGTTGCAGTCGCACTCGATCAGACTCAACGTAAGTGTGTCAACCAGCCTTAAGAAACTGCTTTGATGTCAGTACTCCGGAACAGATGCATACACATAGCAGGTGACTGATAGCACGCACAGTTGCCCTGAGAATGATTTATTGCAGCTCGGCACATGATCCCACAACTGCTCGTACACTAGACTTCTGAATGAATTTAAACTTGTCTTGATCATTCTGATAATATGAGGAGAACATGAATGTGTTGTGCATGGAATGCCTGCACGAGTTTCTATCTGAAACATCTCACAGCTCCTCGTAACTGAGCATACCCAATCATACATAATGCAGGCGTAACGCACACACCAGACATTCTATGCTTCCCGAGTTTATCGAATGATCAAGGGAAGTTTGACTATTTTTTGTTTTTCTAAACCTCGACAACTGCACCGAACGAGAGATACTCGAGCTGTCTGTCGCTGATAATTAGGCAATGCCTAGGTTCATCAGGTCTCGTTACTGTTTTTGATAGAAAAAAGGGAGCCATTAAAATACTTCAGTCCTGTTAATAGGCTCATAACGGACCTACATCTCTTTCCAATAGCAAAACAAAACTTGGAGACAGAGAATCCCTCAGCTCCATTAGAAAGAAATAATAATTGTGCAATTGCAGTGGTCATACTGCTACACTCTATGTATGTTAGTACTACGAAATACATTCCTCTTTGATGTTTATACGAAGTTGACCCACACATTATTTATGAATGAACTGTAGTTTTTCATGTTCAGCTAATTTACATTGTCAGCAAACTTACTGTGTGGTTCAGCAGGAGGAACCTCCCCAGACTCTGTAGCCTCCACAGGGAGCGGGGATAGGTTCCCTGCAGGTTGCAGATGGGAACACTCCTCGGAGTCTGTCAATTCTTGCGTACTGCCCGATGCCCCAGTTGTGCTGTACAGCATTGTAGACACACCTAAAAACAAAAATTCCAAGGTCAAATTTGACTGATCAAAAAGCGATCAAGCGTGTAAACCCCAAAGGGAATACCTGAAAAGGGGCATAAAAATATTCTGCAAAAAAAAAACACAAATTTTTTATTGTAATTGAGCATGACAACCAATTCAAAACGTAGCATAGCAAGTGGCACACAAAGTATGGATATAGCTAATTGTACAATGCAAAGAATCTCAACCTGGTCGACACACAGTAAAAAGGGATAATCCAGGTGTGTGGATCCTCTACAAATCAAACAAAACAACAAGGAAAGGTGGAAAGCGGCTATAATTATCACTTTACACAACAGTGAAAAGGCAGGAAGAAGATGGGTTTGACCAGAGTGACGGTGGCCACCCGTTGGGCATATCATATTATTGGTTTTAGTAGAAAATTCAGCGTCACCTTGATGCAATACAGTAAATTCTCACTTCAGCGAACTCAAGGGACCAAAGGAAATAGTTCACTTAACTGAAAGTTCACTAAAGGCGGCTGGCATCGAGGCTACTTGAAGGATTATACGGCGTGCAAGTTCGTCTGCTTCCTGTGCACGTCGTGCTTAACTAAATATCTTCACTAGGACATACAACAGCATAGGGCACAGCATATATTGAGTCAAAAGTGTGAAATGTAATTTATGAAGTCATGTACATTGATATATACAAAGTGCATAACAGTTATGATGCTGCCTTTCTCATTTAAAAAAAAATAATCTAATTTTCATTTGCACCGGCGCTCTTAATGCGCATGAAGTAACAAGGCTGTCCAGAGAGTCTCTGTTTTTTTGCACTTCCTCGAGAATAAAAATAAAGTTTATTCTCTTTCTCTCTCTCTGGCACAGCTTGTTGCTGCGACAAAGCCATACAACAACAATATCGTCCACTGACTGGAAATATCCCGTGCAGAGTCATTTGCTATTGCCATTGAGGCGCAGTTTCTCCTTCAAGCTTTGACTTTTGCCTCACTATCGTTCACAACGTTGACGGTGGAATCTCATAGTCCTTCGCAACGTCCACTTGCCTTTCATCATTGTCCAGGCAGTGAGGAATTTTGAGCTTGTGTGATAAAGACAACCACTTCCGTCTCGTTGTGCTCGTTACGAAAGTGGGCGCACAAACTGCCGTCCTACTGTTGTTACCCACAACAAAGATGGCCAAATGCAACCGACGAAAAGAAAAAAACAGACGCACCACATGGTTATTTTTCGTCTACCGCACCGCCGCTTTGCTTCGGCAGTACTGTGAAAGCCAGCGATAATAGGCGGGCATCCGCTACGCCAGCACTGCGGAGCACAAAACTTCAGTGAACTGATTGCAAAAATAATCGTGGGACCATCGATCAAGTTTGTTGAACTGAAATATTTGCTATTCAGAATTTGTTTTTCGTTAAACTGAAACATTTTTGCATAGAATGCATAGGAGAAGCGCCAGTGATCTTTTTAAGGTTCAATATCCTGAAATATTTGTTAAGTTGACGCTCACTCAAGTGAGTTTACTGCATTTAGGCTGCTGTCTTATTTCGCGCCACTAAAATGATATCGGCCATTTGTTTTCGTTTAACTTCTGATCGGAGTTGCCCTTTGGCTTCATACTTTCAGCAAGTTGCATACTGTAAAGTAATGAATATTGCGAGTCTGATATGAACCAAGAAAGCATGTCTACTTTACCTCAGAGCACATGAACAGCCAGTCACTGCCATGTACAGAAATGGCCCATTGATTGACAATACACTGATAACAGATATAGTTGAAAAAATCATCTGTGTCAAGACGCTCAACGCTGTCAACACTTTGTCATTCGCTGCCCTTCCTGCGAACAGCAGTGACGCTATTCACATGATCTGCAGTAAAGTAGACATGCATTCTTTTTAGCATCTTGCAGTACTTTGTGCAAATGAAAAAGTATTTCTGTCCTCATTTCTTCACAAAATTTAAAGAATTTGTAAAAACTAATTTTTAAAAGTGAAAAAAGTGTCTGCAAACCATGTTAAATACATGACGCTGACATATGTAGCACATAAGGAACATATTATTTTTGTAGGCACATTTGAAACCTTGGATCCTTTTTTTCCATGTAACTCCTAAAGAAAAGCTAACTTCTGAAACAATATCTACATCCACAATATAACAGCAAGAAGAAACTTGGGAATAATTAATGGAAACTGAAATTCAGCTATCCTGCCCTTACATCCGGCCTCTGTCATCACACGATCAGGCACCGAAGTAGGGACAGCAACGGGCACAAGGACAGGAGCAGCGACGGGGACAGGGACAGGAGCAGCGACGGGGACAGAGACAGGGACGGGGACGGGGACAGGGATGGGTGCAGCAGGCACTGACGTTCTTCCCTGCAGCTGGTGAGTGGCCTGGTGACTGGCCTCTCTGGTGATCTCTGGAGAAGGCACAGTGACCATATGTCCATCGATAGTCACCAGGCAAGCAAAAAATTAGGCCCACTGCAATGGACCTTTTACGAGAAGCGTTCTGCGCACGCGCGAGCGCCCGATGCCAAGCGGCGGAAGTCAGAACGAAAAATCGAGGAAATTCGGAAGGAGGCTGTATATCAGCGAGTACAACACGTAACTGCAGAATATATATAATTGTGTTGCATGAAAAGAGAATGTTGACGGAAAGGAAAACACGACGTTTAGGTGGATGCCACAGATGCCCCTCTTTGAAGTCGCGTAGGGCACGCGCCGCTGCTCGGAGAGCGAAGAAACTGGTAGCCTGGTTCCCTATATTGATTGGTAGCGCAGGTAGGTCACTTCCTCGATTTTTAGTTTGTGCAGCCACCGCCTGGTGCCGTCGGTATGTGGAAAAGGTCCATTGTTAGCCATAAGGGTGCATAATCCTAAAGCACAAATGCGAAACATTCAAATAAACATGACGGGTAGCTTACAGATCTTGTCGAGGACGACGCGCATCAGTTGGAAGTTGGAATCCTCTACTTCCTCCAGTTTCTTTTGCAGCTGCTCAATTTTTACAAGAGCTGCGTCATGTTCGGCTTTCGATACAACGCCTTCGGCACATGTGGCACAAGCCATTTCCTCCACCTTGCGGAGCCTCTTCCGCAGAGATCGCAGAGCTTCTTCAGCCCTATCTAGCTCTGTTTTCGGCACAACTGCAGGGTCCTCGTCGTCGGTTGAGTCTCCTCCTAAAGGCCTCTTCTTACTTAGAATGCTTGCCATCTGCTTTCTCTTGGCAAGAGCTTTGCGTTGTTTCAAGTTCTTGCTGGACGCAGAACCTGATGTTGATGCCTAAAATATACAAAATACAATACAATATTGTGGAAGTGCCCGGGTCCGCTCAAAGTGGAACCGTTTTGTAATTGCCATTTTCCACTGCCCTCTTTTGCGGAACTTCGATCTTAAACAATTTATTTTCCACCTCATAGGTCTATCTACTACAAACTAGCTTTCCTTTATTTTTTTCGCTAGCTCGACAAAATACTTCTAGAAATCCCCAAGACTTCTTTTCAGGTTCTCAGCATTACAAATCGCGAATAATGACTGAAGTAAGGTATAAAATGTCATAATCACAAAAACCAACTGGAAACAAAAGTCTGTGTCTGCAACAGACCCACTTACTTGCACTGGTTCCTCAAAAATCTGGGGAATAACCAGTCGCTTCTTGTGGGCCATCTCCTCGAGAAGTGCCCTCTTCGATTCTGGTGAATAAAAGATAAAAACATGTTAACAGAGCCACAGAACAGATAGGTCAGTCTGACATGACAGGGTCAGGCAGACTGATGGCATATCAGCCACTAGTGTTAATTTAATGTTGTAGTAATTTTACGCCACCAAGCTTGAACTGCACAGTTTGCAAGAAGTAAAACAACCGCCAACACTGCAGAATGATGTCACGTGCGAGCCGCATATAAATCCATGGATTCAATGACAGCATTTCAATTATAAGAGAAAAATAAAAAAACGTTAGCGGTCATGTGATTGTGCTGTGTTATGCCCTGTACTCTGCTGATAATCTCTGCCCAAAACATTACAATTATTTTAGTAAGTCACTGGAAGCTGCATTTACGTCACACATATTCTTCCTCTTAACAAATGCTTCAATTATTTGTAGGTGCTCAGACTACCAATCCTTGTGGCAGTTGCATCTTTTTTAATTTCAGTGAAAAAATTTAGAGTGTGCACTACCAGTGTAGATGCACTCACATTCTGTTTAAAGGGAAACCGAAGTGGTTCTGTATTTTTGAAAAAAAAAACACATGGATCATCTTCTTTGGCCTCTAGGACCATGAATATCGAAATTATTTTTTCAATCTGATGTAGGAAGCAGTCGCACAGCATTTTGAAAATAGCACCGAAATCTCGCCCTCTTTGAGCATGACATTACACCCAGAGTTCTTGGAACCTCCGCTCTCTCGAGCCTTATTGAGCACCCATCATAGTCATGCTCGCACTCTTGATATTTTCAGAAAGGTCAGCAAAAAAAAAAATCACAAATGGTGTCACGTGTGGGGGAATATACCTGGTAAGCTTGCAATTGCACGTGCTGCCCACATGAGCGACATACACTTGGTAATCAAAAGATCTGGGTGTGCCGTAACGGCTGGCGGGAAATTTTTCGAGTTTTCTTGTGTTCAGTTACATCTTCAAGGAAAACGAATGTGATATTTGGATTCACGGGATAAAAATATGCTACAATCTGGCTCTAACTCTCCTCAATGGCCAGCGACTCGAGGATCTCCCTTCCAAGCTGTTTCCGGTGTTGTGCGACGACAGTGATGTTTGTGAAGTCAGGAGCACATTTGCATTCCCGATAATGCGCCGAAAGGTGGCCCGCCGACGTTAGTGTGGCCACAGAGGCTGCATGTCCTCTGGTGCGGTCGTTTATGCACCTCCCTGTTTGCCCTATGTAGCTTTTGCCACATGACATGGGGATATGTGATATGTGAGAAGCTTTGTAAGCAAGTGCGACATAATCCGGAGAAAAATGAACCAACGAAAAAGAAACTACCAAAGCCTTTCGTAGTGGTACCATATATACACGGGATCACTCATCGTCTAAAAAAGATCGCTGGCCGACAAGGCATCCATGTTGTGTGCTCAGCCCCCAACGAGGCGTACGCCACGTGCCGTAGGGTGAACCGGGAGACCGACCAGAACGTGACGACGACCTGCGGCACTGCGCATTGAACACCCTATGCCCCATGCGAAAAAGGAGTCGTAAACAATATCCCTATGTCATGTGGCAAAAGCTACATAGGGCAAACAGGGAGGTGCATAAACAACCGCACCAGAGAACATGCAGCCTCTGTGGCCACACTAACGTCGGCAGGCCACCTTTCGACACATTGTCGGGAAAGCAAATGTGGTCCTTACTTCACAAACATCACTTGTCGCACGACACCGGAAACAGCTTGGAAGGGAGATACTCGAGTCACTGGCCATTGAGGAGAGGGGGGGAGAATGCGTAAGTGTCGCCTATATTGCACTCTTGCCTAAAGAAAAAATATATCCGCAGGGAGTGGCCCCTCGGAGCAACCAAGTCGGGACTATTTGAATGCCAAGATTCGACAGAGGAAAAAGAAGTTGACGCTACCGAAAGTGTAGAAAAAAAGAAAGTTTTGTAAGATCCGACAGCTGAAGAAGAGGTAGTCTCTACGGTTAGTGTCGAGAAAAAGGAAGTTTCAGTCTAAGATCTCACAGATGAAGAAGAAGACACCTTTTAGGATAGTGTTGAGGAAAAGGAAGTTTTATTAAAAGGTTGATAGTCCAGTAGTGTGGTTCTTTGTTTTTTTTTCTCTCCATCGCTTTTCCTAAACGTTCAACTGGTATTCAAGTAAGCATAAAAAAGATATGCCGCAAATATTGCCAAATGCCTCGACAAAACAAAATGTTCGAGAAAAAAAAGAAAGAAAGTGGGCCCACACCGCGGATCGAACCCGGGCCCACTTGCGTATGAAGCAGAAACCTTGCCACTATGCTTTGCCACCGCTTATTAGAAAACTTGTAACTATTCGTTTTATACGAGTCTCGCGTAGTGCGTACACCCTTTTCCGGTCGAGGTGCAGGACGGAGTCCGAATAACTTTACTCATTAAAAGTAGTTACGTCGGAAGTAACGCTGGATATTGCGTTTATCACAATCGTATGTTAAGGAAGTACGATTTCCCAGTATTGCAATCGAGTTCTGAGCTACACAAACCGCACGCACTTCCTTTGAGGAAACAGATCAGCGGAGGGCAAACACAGAGGAACAGCAAATGCCAGCTACTTACTTGCAAGAAGGACCACTTTCGCCTCGTAGTAGCCTTCTTCAAGGCCGGCCTCGGAGCGCCAATACGCTTGCACCGATTCACTAGGGATGTCAGTCTCCGTTTTTGGATTATAATCCTTGATCAGGCACGCAGGCATGATCACCTTCTCTTTGTCGGCGGGGTAATGTACGTACGCGTAGAACATCGCGAAAACAGAAGAAACATACGAAAAGAAAGTCAAAACAATAAAGCAACGCTTGCTGGGCTACCAGAAAAAAAAACGCACAACGCAAAAACGAAGTGCACAAGATAGAACGGCAATAACACAAAAAGATGAAAACAACGATACCCAAAGCAAAGCAGAGGTCCTGCTAGGACTAGGAGGCAGAGGCAAGAGCAGAGCCAGAAAGGAAAGCCGCTCGGGCAACTCCGAAAAATAAAGGTGGATTGGATTGGATTGGACGGGATTGTAATGAGCCTGGAATATCTCTCTTGAGAACAGTAGTGAAACTGCTGTAACATGATGGTATGTTATTGGTGTTTATTCGTTGGAAGAAAATCCTAAATATCTTCAAGGCTCATATTAATTATTAAAAATAGTAGAACTTATTAAATATTATTTTTATGACCTCTGAAACACCATACAGCCGTCGATTTAACGAAAACTTGAACTCGCGAAGTCGTCAGAAGTAAACCCCTCACGACTGCGAGCAACTCCCGAATTCTCGGCGCGAGTTACCAGACATTGTGCTCAATGTTCTGCACCAGCCCAAAGGGGGAAAAATGAATCTTGAGTTGCTAATAGGCAAACTATGCAACCTGCATATAAATATGAAGTCACCAATGTTTGATGCGGTAGGTGGGTCTAGGGCTTCAACGTTTTCTTGGAGCTAGCCTTCTTTACCAAGGATACATACAACATAGCAAACAAACATTAATTTGTTTATGCCCGCGTAGCCATCAGCTTGAAAGGAAAGGGAAGGAAGGAACAAGACAAGCGGCTCTGATAGAGCATTTAGTTCAGTGGTGAATCGCAACCTAAGGAGAGTGTCAGGCAGTTTTTTAGTTACTGAGCTTTGAACTATATTACAAAAAAAAACAAAAAAAAAACAATTCTACTGTTACAGATCAGGCATCTTTAGTTCAGAGAGATGTAGAGGCATATGCACCGTGTGGGTGTTGAAGTTTAAAGGGAGGCTAAAGTTGTTTTGTATTCAAGAAGAAAAACACTTTGTGCCCTTCAGGCTCACCAAGGTCTAAATTATTTTTCAATCTGATATAAGGAGCAGTCGTAACAGTGCTTTGAAAATAACGCCGAAGCCCCGCCCTCTCTGAGGCAAGTGAGAGGCGTGATATCAGATGACATTATATGCAAATGTACGGCTCGTCTGCTCATCTCTGCTTTGTTTGCTGCTATCTCCATTTGGTTTTCTGCGACTGCTCGTGGTTTTCTGCGATTGTGCGTGGTTTAATTTTGTTATTCGTTTTTGTTGTTTCGGTCTTCTGTGCCATGACAGTCTCCCGATTATGCCGACCCTGTGTGCGGCTGTTGGCTCCTCTAAGGCAGCATGATTAGTTATACCATAGTCCTTAGTTATACAATGTATCGAACTAACTATTGCTTTTTGCAAAGTCGCATGTCGCAAAATCAACATGGAGAAGCAGTAGAGTCAGAATGCTGGCTTGCTCAATCCAGCATTTGAGCAGAAACTGGGTGAAAGAAATCACTGCCAAGGCCCAGTGCACATGAGAGCTGAAGTTATGGTTCAATATTTGCCTCCGCTTGTGTGCTAACCCTGCCAGTGCTTTTTTTCACCATGCAGTCTCGGCTGAAATGCTGGCTCGGGCAAGCCAGCTCTGGCCGACCTCCACATCACTTTTTATAAGCTTGACGTTAATCGGAAGCCATCATGAGAGGCTAATCACGGCAATAAGTTGGAGAAAGGAAATCACGCCAGCGTAAAATAGGCCAAGCAAATAAATCTGTAGCGAATCATACACGGATTTATGCAACTGGTAAATTCTTTGTGAAAATAATAATGAATGCAACACATCCATAGCCGATATTCACCCAATAGGAAGCATTCAAATTATAGAACGGAATTTTAGTGGGGTCAATATTTCGTAGATCTTGCAAAGTGCGCAAGGTTAGAAGCTTTTTGCTGTTAAAAAGTTTTGCGATTCTGAGTGGTATGCTATGTATTTGTTACCGCGGGGTAAGGTATAATCGTGATCTAATGAGGTTTCCAGGAAACTGAGTCATGATGAATGTTCACAGACTCACCAACAGGTCAGTGGACGTTTGCCTGCTAGTGCCATTTGGTCAGCGATCAAGAAGTGGCAGTCGCATGGCAGCGCCATAGTGGCGCCGAGCAAGTGCCACTGCCACTTCATTCAGCACAGTCCCACATTCTCAATTTTCTCTCTTGTGTGTTCTAACGCAACCTGAAAAGATTAGGATACGTACCAGTATGTGTTGCCCACACGTGCATAGAATGCAATGCCGCTCGCCTGGGGCTGCATTGCCACTCCTGTGGACTCGAAGCCCCCCCCCCCCCCCCCCACGGATGTTTTCCCCACACTTCGCTAAGGGCTAAAACGCATATGGAGTCATGTAAAGAGCCCTCTATATTTATTAAACCTCAGGTGCTTAACGGCTCGCCATTCTTTGTGTATACAAGGTGATAGGTGATTATCAGGATCGCCATTTGAGCCTGCGAGCATTCAGGGGCAATACGAAATGACCGCATAAAGCTCTGCATATAACGTAGGGCCGATTCAGCCGATGCTGACCGGCGCTCGTTTTCGTGTTCCTTTTGCATTTAGAGGAATACTTTTCGGCCAAATGGTTGACTTATCCGAAATCAGCGTGTAAAACTACGCTAGAATCCACCTCTAACTCCTTTTTTGTTAGAGCCTCTTAAGTTGCCCTTTAACATACTACTGTCACTACACTGAAGCCCTTGGAACAAGTGAAAGGTGATGTCATAGCGAAATGTTTTTTTCTTGTTTGCTTAATAATGCAGGCAGCCCCTCCTCTGTTGCTGCACTAGACAGGCGCCTGCTTTCCATCACGCCTCCCCACTGTGTCACAAGGCTGCCTAGGCCCCTGGCAACTCGCACCATCTGGAAGGCGTCAGAGTGGAGGCATTGGCTCCTTTACTACTGTCTCCCATGTACACTTGGGATCCTTCATCCAAGGTACTGGAGCCACCTGGCCAAGCTTGTTGAAGGAGTGCACCTTCTCCTGAGAGAGGAGCTCACTTCGTCCTCAATTGACCGTGCAGGTGAGGGCAAACATGCTATTGCACTGTTACGACATGCAATAAACTGGCTGTGAGCATATTTTGCTCTCAGTCACAATGCTCATCCTTATTTTATTGAAGTCAGATCTGGATGACCTTTTTAAACTTCAAGGGGACATTATAATCGTTGAGTTTTGTTTACGAATGGAATGCATGCATCCTTTCTCATGATGGAACCACTTTACCTGAGAATACTTCATATTTTGTTTATGTTGGTGGAAAAAGAAACCTCTGGGCGCTTTTTTAGCTGAAGGCTAAGAAGCACCCGCAATAAACATAGAAGATTCCACAGCTGTTTGTAATTGTTTTTTTTATTGCATTCAAGTCTAGATTTTTTTTTCTACTTTCTTGTATAATGCCCATGCTGCCCCTCAGCGGAACATAGATAGGGATGATGATGATAACCACAGAAAAATTGGCAGTCCAGTGGTAACTGACAACTCGGCCAACACAACCGCTTCTCTGCCTGTCTCCGTCTAACATTGTAAACAAGAGGTGGGCCAGATACAATATCCGTATCACAGTTTTCGTTTTACTTTGTACATTATGTCTCCCCAATAGTGCCAGACCTAATTAGATAACCCACAAAAGCCAAGAATTTACGTATAAGCTGTAACTTACCTTAAATATGTCTCCGAGGTACATATTTAGATAGTGTCAACTCCCACTACGAAAAACTTCCACCTACCACTGTCTCAATGACAATACTAAAGACGTTTATACTCCCAGCGACTATTGGATCCATATTGGTACAAGCATTTATTTATTTATAATCTCTGTTGTGGGATTTCAGAGTAGATTTTGATAGGTAACTTGGATCAGTAAAATATGTATTTGAAAAAAGTCACACCTTCAATCTTCAAGTCCTTGATTTTTGTGAGTCATTTTAGGTTTGAAATTTCTTTTTGGGAACACCGGTAAAAAAGACTCGAGGTACATCTAAGCACTTACGAGTTGAGAATGCGGAAGCATGAATGTCATTTTTCGCGCCACGGCCGCTTCTGATCCCCTCGGCACCAAAGCCGCTTCTGAACCTCTCGGCGCCACGGCCGCATGTAATCCTTTCGGCGCCTCTTCCATTTTTGCCCTGGCGCAGGCACGCAGTGCCATGGGGTGGTCCAAATTGAGATTGACACACGTCAGCTTCATATCATAGCCGTTTCGCATGACTTTTTGCATAGTTTCAGAGCTGGGATGCCTCAGATCACGGCTTCAGGAATTTATCTGCCGTTTGGTGCGGCTGATGACGTCTGCTCGCTCCATGGGACCAGTTAATGCTTTCACATTAATACCAAAGTAGCGCCCACCCCACTTTCAGTAAAAACTGGGTTAATCTAGAGATGGGCACTTGTCCGGTCAAATCAGGTGCTTAACGCATGATTTGCACTATCCCCAAGTTTGGGAAGTGTTAATGGTGGGCGCTTGAACGAAGTGGGTGCTTCCACGGTATTTTTTGGTACGTACAGAGTGCGACGCTGTTAGCACGAACGAGCGATCGCCGGTTTTTCCAGTTTTTCTCTTTGAAACTAAAGGGCGTCGTCCAAGTTATTGCTCAAAAAGAGCTCATTTAGATCTTTAATGTAAGCAATAAAATTTTGTGCTTGCTTATACTATTTAGAGGTAAAGTGCGAAAATGCGGCGATGTCGTGTTTGCGCTAGCAGTGTCGTGATGTGTACATAGTACATAGAAGTTAAGGCAATTGGCATTGAAATTGGTCTATGTTTAAACTGAGCTAAGGAACAGAAGTCTACCTTTTGGATAGACCGGGACTATAATTCTAATTGAGGTAAACCTGGA